ACCAAGCTGTGCTCCCAAAACCTTGAGCACATATTATCAGGACCTCCTAAGGCTGTGTCAGGGTCGTGCCCTTAACCTTGGCAAGATAAACTTTCTAAATTGATGGAGACTCGTCTCAGATACGTGTGGTTCTTAATAACTACAAGTTAAAATAACTTTAAAGCAAATTAGAACGAGGAAACAAAAAAGTACAACAGCAAGTCATTGAGTGTTTGTGATTTACCATTGGACCATCTTCGAAATGTTTCTGAAATCCACTCCATTTCTCTCCAGCCCCACAATCACTATCCCTGCAAAGGCCATCGGCATCCCATCCTAGAACTCTAGGATCACTTTCTAATTAGGCCTTGCCACCATCCCCCCACCCCCCGGCCTCCCCAACTTTCCACCTAATGGTCTGAATAATCTCCTGCAAATGCAAATTTTTCCTTGTTTCCTTGCCTCAGGATCATGTACTAATTTCGTAATGAGACTCTGGGAGTTCCCCTACCTAGCCCCTCTTAGTTTTATTTTGGACCATTGTCTATACTCCCTGTCTCTTCTCCCTAGTTCCACCCTCATCTTGATTCTGCAGAAAGATTGATTTTCCTTTAGATCCTACATTGAGCACTTTTACCCCATCTGACTCTGACCCCCTCATACATGACCCTCCCTTAAATAGAATGTATCTTGACTCTTTCTCTGCAAGAGTCCTATTCCAATTATCTCAGCATTGACATAATTTTCTCTTGAAAACTACCTCCTGCCCTCGTCTTGGTTAGGTAGACACTTTGTTTGTCACTGAGCTCATGCCACAGGGTTTCATTGTCTTATACCTGTTTATGTTCCCCATTAGACTCTGCCCCGGAAGGAACGCTGCTTATTAACTGCTAGCATCTTCAGTGCATAGTACAATGCAAAACACTTAGTGGGCATTTGAAACTCATATTAGTTGAATTGAGAAATGAACCAATGAATGAAAGCTCACATAATTCAAATAGTGGAATCAAAGCCATAAAATTGTCATCTGGTGGTGGTGGAATAAGGTAACGAAGCTGAAAGCATTTTCACCATGCTGCTTCATTTTTCTATGAAATATCAACCCAAACACTCCTAAGGAGGTTACCCGGTGGACTCCTACAATATGCTCCAACAGTTAATTACTCTGTAAGAATTCTCAGCTCTCACTTTAAATTACATTCAACTTGAACAAAATTTAAAATATGACAAACATGACCTTTTCCCTCAAATTGGCTCCTTTCTCAATGCTCTTTCTTGTATCAAAATAAAAATAGTGAAAGAATTAAAGAATCCTACTATTTCATTTACATATAGTAATACATTCTTCATGTTTTCTTATAAATACAACCATATAAATATGTACCCGGCTTCACTCATTCCTCTGAGTCAGACTCTCTGAACTAATTATTACCTTCTAATACTCATCCCAATAATATTTTCTTGTTGCATGTGTAGCTTTCTCTTCCTGACTTGGAAAGTCTTCCATAATCTACCTTCACAGTCTTCTCTTGTATACTTACTTTGTCATAAAACGTAAAATACATAAAAACTACAGTCCATGTTATATTGTCACTGAGCAAATGCAATTTCCAAGGTACTTTGTTGGGTTTTACTTTTTTTTTTAGATTTTCTTTTGAATAAGTGTTTTCTATTTGAAAAACTGAAATGTAATCCTCTCAGGTCTTCCAACCTTACCAAGAGTGAGCCTTGAACATTTTGCAGTTCTTTTCTATGCTCAGCTTCCATCTCTATTTACTTAGCAGGTTTTTAAAAAGTGTTTAGCATCTCTCTTTGCTTGAAATTATTTTTGTTTTTGGCTTCTTTTTTCCAAAGTGGTAAAAATGAGCATATCTCTTTCCAATAAAAATGATAAATGAATTGAAGCCATAAATATCTTAAAATAAGTCTTAGGACTTAAAGCTGTAGTTTTCTGTTTTTAAGAATCCACTTCTTCTGCTTACTGCTGACTTATTTGCAGCTGGCTGCCTAATTTTACATACATTAGGTGTCGAATAACACCTAAATCTTCCATTAAGTCATCATTGTGATCATCATTGCAATGACCACAATAAGCAATACATGGAAGTACTGAAAAGCAAACACTCTAGAAGATTTTTAGAAATGCAAATAAAAGATCTTTTCTAGGAAATGAGAAAAATTATTGATTGCTATTTAGATCTACAACTTAATTAACATTATTGTAGAAACATTAGTAACCAAGACTATAATTCTGATTCTGCAAGAACTCACATAATACTTAGTTTTATACTTAATCTTTTATCATTTGTGACAAAATTTAGTAAAATGAAAGATTATCTAGAAGTAGACTGTGATTGCTTAAAGACACAGTAATAATCAAGATTATAATATAAGTATTTTCAAGAGTTAGACAACTCATGCATGAAATCATTTATTGAGACATACATACTTGTCTAAGAAGACATTTTAATACATGTTCAATAAACTGTCATTAAAGTGTATCTGTACTGGGGTGCCAATCACTGATTTTTAACAAAACCATTCTATGATCCCAGTGAGAGAGGTATCGATTTTTACATATTTTGTCAATAACATTATAACAATTTTACATATAGGAGGTTTAAACAAATTAGAGGTTTAAAAACATGTAGAATTCCTGGGAATCACGTTTAGAAGCAAGTTTTAAAACCAATCTATCTCCAGATTCTGATACTAAAACACAATGTTCAATCTTAGTTTGGAGGAATTAAGAAACATGGCAGAACAGATTACATTTCTAGTTTGATTTAGATCATTAATTCTTAATTTACATTAAGAGAATATACGAGACTATTATAAGAAATAGTAGCATATAACATATGCATATTTATAACACATAAAAACTTATTGAAAATTAATTAAACTATAATATCCATACGATAAAGACAGGATAAGTGGGAATTATCTAGGAAAACTGAGATGAAACAATTAGATAAAACTGAGATTAAAAAATACAGGGGCAACCTAAAGCTTCATTAATAAAGAATGTTTAAGTAAAATTCGTAAAACGACAATAAGGATTCAATCAACATGGACCACCTATGGCATAAAGCAAGCACAATGCACACAGTATAATTGCTGCCATTTTTATGTCCATTTTTAAGTAGGTGAATTTATTTTTCCAAGATTCATTCTTACATACATGTTTCTACACAGACTTACAACTATCCAGAAAATTTTAGTTAAGCAGCAGAGTTCAGGGAGTTCAGTTTGCTAAGTCACAGTCCTAACATCAGGTGTTTAAAGATGGAGACGGAATTTCTCAGCACTGTTCAACTGAAAGATGTGAGGGAGAATGTGCAAAGAGATAGGGCTGGGCCAACTGGTCTTCTGGCCATCATAAACAATCCGATCAAAAACATTAGGGTTGCGTTGGGGGGGATTTTGTGATAAAATGAGGGGTCATTCAGCCAGAATGGTCATTCAGCCAGAGAATGAATTCAGGGAAAGAGCAGAAGTGGGAAGGTTAATAAAATGACAATTGCAACATTTCATGGAGATATGACAAGAACCTGAATTCAAGCACTGATAGCGAGGGACACCAATGGAGAAACAGGATGGAACAGATAAAGATGCATGTAAGGAGTATACTTGTTAAAACTGGTGATTAATTAAATATGAGAAGAAAGTGCTTATGCTATTTGCTGCCTTGTTCTTAGAGGTTTATAAACACAAAAAGAAAAAACATATAAACATTTAAAAACAATTATTAATTAATTAAATATGCATAACAGCTATATTAGGTAGGTTCTAATATTGCCATCTTCATTATACAGATGAGTAAATAGGAGTATTGTAAGATTTAAGTTACTTGTCCAAGGTCATGCAGTCAGTAAATGGTGGGCTCAGAATTACAAACCAGGGCAGTTGAACATCACTGTGTGTACATTTAGCCGCTACATTCAACCTCCCTTAGGCTCCCCTGATCACTTTGAGAGTTTCTAAGATGATGCTTGGATTCCAACTTAGGTGAATGGGTGAAAAGGGCCAGCACTAACCTAATGAGGAGAAGCAGGAGTGAATGGAATGACCACAAGGTCAATTTAAAGGGCTGAAATGTGAAGTATTTGTGACACACCAAAGTTGAGGCATTTAGTAGGAGCTTCAAGAACAGAACAAGGGCACCAGATATAAACGTCAAGCCTCTTGGTAAAAGCATGGCATATGGAGCTATGACATAGAAGGGATGTTCTAGGAAAGGTAATCTCCAGTCTTTTGACTTGCTAATTGTACAATACTATATATACCCTTCTCTAGGGCGTCCTTTAAATATGTACATACGAAATAAACAGTCACTGACTGGCAGTAGGAAAATATGGCCATTTTAATCCTTTAAAATAAATCTGAAAACTATACAATTCAGGAGAAAAATACCCCATCAATAGCCCTTCCTTTGGAATTATTTCTTAGTTACTCCTACCGCCACCCCCACACACAAAAAAACAAAAACAAACAAAAACTAACCCACAAAATCATCTTTTTCTGACCTACTATACTGTTAGTCAGTATAACCAACAACTTCAAATGAACTTCTTCCAAATCTTTGACTTATTTTCTTACTTCCTTGCGTCAACTCCTTAGTTGCAGAGTTTAACCTAAATAACATTAAATAGTTAATCATGATGAACCTAGAATGGGTAATAATAAGCAAATCTTGAGATAATCAGCAATTATTCCTATAATTCCTCCATTATTACTATTGAAAGAATAGGCTTCCTTTGAGTAAGGAACAATGGTTTAAGAGCATTCACTAAGTACTATATTCCAGGTCCCATGAAAGGATCTATGACAGGAAAAACTCACCCACTGCATTGTTATTGATTGCAGGCTTTCCTCTTATAACAAAAGCATAAGATGAACTTAATGATCTTATGATCTCCAACGCTGGTTTTCTGTGTGAATATCTATGAATTTATATTAATAAGATTGTCTCACCAGGAGCCATTATATCTTCTAAAATATTTATTTTTAGTTTTCAAGCTCATAGCTCAGAAAATACCTTTCACTCATTGAACAGACAAGGGCAGTATTTCAACTCATCACTGGTGATATCATTAAAAATGGTATTTCCTGTCAATATTTATAAAAAGGATTTTACGTGAATAGAAATAAGCTAAGGAAGTCTAAAATGTGGACAAGTTGAAAATATTATTGCATGCTGAATTTTAAGACACATAGAAAAAGTTAAAATGGGTGAAGCAAATCTAGAAGACCTTTATCAAAAAAGGATAGCAAACGTTTTTACATCTGTGGGTAAAGTATGTTCTGCAAACAAACAGCTAAGCTTTAAAAGAGAAAGTGAAGCCTGTGGTAGATATCAAAAAAAATAAAAGTTCTGGGTATACTCAAGTGTGGTCTACAGCATCCACAGCTGTGCAGCCTTCCAGGGGGACAGGAACACCCTTGCCTCAATGGAATCTGGTGGAGCAAATGTTACTATTGGAGCAGAAATGACATTGTATTGGGGATCATTTTGAAAGGAGGTGGTTTATGAATGGTAAAGCAACTCAGTCTCCATTTTGCTCATCTCCTTTTTTATAGGAGAACTGTGGGCTTGAAAGAGTAGACAGGGAATGGTTATGAAATGTGAAATATAAACTGTGTGAGGAGAGAGAAAGTGTGAGCCAATTGAAATCTGAGTTTCCCAGGACCAGAGGAGAACACCCAGTAGGCTGCTGGAAGAACTCCCTTCTTAGGCTGTTCTTCAGTCATCCTTGGTGTTCATTCACAAACCACGGATTAGGGTGGAGGTGCCAGAAAATCACAAATGGAGGTCATTTTTTTTTTTTTAATTCAAAAGGGAAAACAAAAGGAATTAGAGAATAGGTAGCATAATGGTAGCCCACAGTTAATTTCTAGCACTGAATGACTGGTTTGTTTACTTAAAAATAAGTCATCACAAGAATCCAAAATTACTGTATGTGGTCTGATACCATGGATTATTTATGTTTTAAGACCTCTTTATGGTTTGTAATGAGGCATTTGACAAGGTATACTATCCAGTCTTTTGGATAAGAGATAGAATTGTATGCGGATTTATCCACATTACATGTAGGTGAGCATAGAGCTGTTCAAAGTTTATCCTAGAAAATGTTGAAGAGGAAAAATACTAACTCAAAGGAGATAAGGAATCGCACAGCATAAACAAAAGAAGGTTGGATTCGCATGACCAGCCAATGGAAATAACTGTTGTCCCTGGAAAAATACAGAGATCTCAGGTGAAATCTTCACAAACACAAGACAAGAAGTCCTAGTTTAACAAACACTCCATTTCCATGATAAGCTAATAGAATGGGTAGCATGGCTACAAAAAGCAAACAAACCAGAAGCTAAGGCTCCATTAATAAGAAAAGAGAGGAAACATATCACTCTACCTTAGTTGCTCTAATGTGACAGAAATGAAATATACACCTTTTTTAAGGTTTTGGAATTCTTATTTTAAACAGGGATGTAGATAGAACTATGGTCGGAAAAGAATTAACAGGTATTGTATCTCAAAATGATGCCAGATTTGAAATGATTATTTTCGATAAGATGCCATTTAGGAGGACTGGAAGCTTTTTAAACACTTGAAAGGATGTGTTATGAAAGACATCACAGGCAGAATCTGCGTAGTTCTAGACTCAGGGCCAGGAACAACCCATGGAAATTAGTGGTAACCTAAGTTCAGTTCAGTTGAGTGCAACTTTTTACCACGCAGAGGTCTGAAAATGAAATGGGCTGCTTTTCCATAGAAAAAAAAATTGGGAACTATCTTAATCCTCAGAAAGTCATCTTACTAATTATTCCTGAAATCAGTGTGAAGCACCTGGAACCAACTTGCTAAGCTTAGCTTTTTCTTCAACTCACAAAGCAAATTTAATATTTCCAGTGGAGATCGAGACGTTCTTCTAGCAGGGAAAATTGCACAAACTACAGAGAAATGATTGATACTCAACATCAATCCCTTGCCATGTCCTCATATTTTTGTCTCAATATTCAGAAAAACAGAATTGCTTCTGTTCTGTTCTTTAAGCCAGTCTGTTCTCTTCAACTCACTAATTTACCTCGGAAACTCCACTCTTCAAATGTAAAGGTCCATCATTAGGATGTTTAATATTGATGGAAGAAGGAAAATGACTACTTTACCCACAAAAATAAAAACATTTGGCACTTATCTTTTCAAGATGACATTTTTTGACTTTATTGCTAGAGCAGTGGAGTATTGACAAGCAAGGACCTGCTAAGAGACCACTACGGGACTGTGACCTTCCAGATTTCCAGCAGCAGGATTCAAGTCTCTATCCTCACAAAATTGCAAATGCTTCTGTGCTATAGAACATCTGATTAGTGTTAAAATAATTCCATTAAAGAATACTGTATGCATAATTCCTCAGTGTCTGCTGAATAGCTCTAAAAGCTCCACTCAAATTTTAAGACACTTCACCAATCTTGCTTCATTTTAGGCTTTCATCTTCAAATCACCATTTAAAAATTATTGAGAAAATTCAACTGCGCTGCACAGTTTCAGTCTTATATAACTGTTGCTTATTTTTGGAGACTTAAGAAATGGTTATTTGATCTGCCTCCGAGTTTGTTTCTGATGTTGCCACCTCCAATTTTTTTTCTCCATTTTGTTCTCATATAGCTCTTTTTAAAACACAAATCTGATCGACTTCTGCTTAAAGTCTTCCAATGACTCCTACTCACTTACCCCCTAATCAGAATGTGAGGGATGAAATGAAAGCCTCCCTGTTTTCACAGCCCACAGCTGACTCTAGCACCTGTACTACAGCTGACCTGCAAGAAATAGTTCTCAAAAAAAAGGAATGCACAGCAACTTAAGTATGAAAACATTTCATTGTATTGTGCTTGTCCTGGTCTTGTGGTTATCCTTCCCTTTTATTTTTTATTTTTTCCTTTGAGTTGGAGTTTCACTCTTGTTACCCAGGCTGGAGTGCAGTGGCATGATCTTGGTTCACCACAACCTCCGCCTCCTGGGTTCCGGCAATTCTCCTGCCTCAGCCTCCTGAGTAGCTGGGACTACAGGCGTGCGCCACCATGCCCAGCTAATAGTTTGTATTTTTAGTAGAGATGGGGTTTCACCATGTTGACCAGGATGGTCTCGATCTCTTGACCTCATGATCCACCTGCCTCAGCCCCCCAAAGTGCTGGGATTACAGGCGTGAGCCACCGTTTTTTTTTTTTTTTTTGCCTAATCTTTGGTTTTAAATTTTAACTTATCCAAGAGACTGTTAAAATATATAAGCCTTTGTTTTCTCTAGAAAAACAGGACTTTTGGGAGGCTGAGGCAGGAGGATCGCCTGACCCCAGGAGGTGATGAGCCTGGGCAACATAGCAAGACCCTATCTCTATGAAAAATTGAAAAATTAGCCAGGCATGATGACGTGTGACTGCAGTCCCAGGTATTCAGGAGGCTGAGGCAGGGGGATCCCTTGAGTCTAAGAATTTAAGGTTACAGTGAGTTACAATTGTGCCACTGCATTCCAGCCTAGGCAACAGACAAATGAAAACAAACAAAAATTATTTTCTCTAGAAATTTTTTCACCAGTAGGAAATATAGTGGCTTTAGAGAATTTTAATTTTCATTATTGTCCTACCACACTGACAGTGTTTTTCAGTACTTCCTATTGTTTTTCTGAATCATGGTATCTCATATTTCTAATCAAAGATGTACTTCAAAGGCCTATCATTTAAAAATATTTTGCTTTTTATCTATGAAAATCCTTTTAAAACTTATTCTAATCCTTTCTTTCCTCTAGATTTAATATGCTTACCTAAACTCACCAGAGACAACTTCAAATTTGCATTTCTGAGATCTCTCTTAAGATACTCGACCTTGTACTTAACTTTCTGTTTAGCAGATTAAAGTACTACATTTCTGGGAGTGGGGGGAAGAAAAGCTGTTCAAAGCAGTATCTAGGGCACTTGTGCACATTCAGAGGCAAAATTCTAGAAGAAAATCTTTAAATTCCAAGAAAATATTCATCTACTAGATAATATCATTGCACAGAGGAGTGACTGGATTAATCAAAACATTCCATTTCTTCACCATGCATTGATTCATAGAATGTTGCATGTGAGTTGTGTTTGTGTGCATGTGTGTGTGTATAGTAGATAAACATGTAATCTCAAGAAACAGTAGCCAAACTTTCCTGAACTATTTCTAACGTTTCAATAGTTTATATTATTTCTAAAGAAACTATAATTCATTAAAGAAGAGCTGAAGTTAAATTTATTGATATGTGACAGTTATGCCAAAGTATCCACTGTTTAATAACTCAAGGTATATTATTCAATGCCATGTAGATCATTTCTACACCACAATATTAACAAAACCTGCATGAGTCAATTTATTCACTCCAGCCATCTGAAATGATTTATGTCTATTGCCATAAATTTGATTTGCTGAAGAAATTGAATCAATTGTAAAGATGACTATTGCAATCCACTCCATCCTGCCAAAAACAGCCTGTTCAATCAAGTGCTATCTTGAAATCATCAGTGGCTTCTCTAAAAATATGGAAGTACTATGTTAACATATGATTTATTTTCCATGTTCTAAATATTTTTTTAGGACACAACCATTTACTGTATTTTTGAGAAGTGTAGTGTGCATATTATAAGACAAAATGGCATAATCCAATATCATATGCATAAAAAATAAAATTAAAATAATACAAACAATGTAAAATTGTACAATGGCCTGAAATCAGAATGCATGATGACGAGCTAACTTTTCCAAGTATTTATTTGTTCCAAGTTCTTTCACATCTATTTTAAAATTAACACTCAAGACAATCTTATGAGACATTTTATAACCCTTTTTGGACTAAAGAAAAATAATTCATGGAATATAATGCTTGTCCAAATACAGCTGAGGAAAAGCAATGGAATATTTTTGTAATTAATTTTCTTTTGACTAAAGAAAAATAATTCATGGAATATAATGCTTGTCCAATAGAGCTGAGGAAAAGCAAATGGAAGAACTGATTTTTTCCTTGACTTCCAATGTTTTATTATACAATCACTTATCTTTTTAAGAATATA